GAGGGCTGGGTATGTGCTCAGCTGGCTGCCGGGGGAGTGTGCAAATTCCACGGGTTATCGTGCTACATCAGGACGGTGCAAACAGGCATCTAATGAATTCTCTCTCCACAAAAGGAATTCAAATAAAACAACTACCACCATAAATATGTAAGTATAGTGGGCTGTTATACTTTATGTACTGTACTTTTATGTGATCCCAACTATTCGCCTTTAAGAGGGAGAGAAAAATAGAGATAGACAGGTGGATGGATAGGTGGATGGATGGATAGATAGATGGAGAGGTCAGGATCTCTCTCTTATAAACCGCATTATAAAATACTTGACATGCAAAATAGTATATAACATACCCGCAAGACACGTGAATCAACCACTCAGCCAGAATAGTGATTAAATGATTCATCCCACGTGGCAAGAGCAATAGTTTTTTCCTCACCACTTTCTATTTTGTTCACTTTTTAAAATTTTTAAAATGAAGTTTCTTTATTAATGGTAGAAGATTTTTGCTATGGATAAAATCATTATGATTTATAAGAAAAATATGATGACGTGGTTCATTAGTTTTTTTAAAAACAGGTTTATTGACATAACAATTAACTGCCTCGATTTAAAGTGTAAGTTTTGACATATAAACACACGTGTAAATTCATTACTGCTATAGAGATAATGAACATCTCTGTCTCCCCTGTGGTCATCTCTACCTCTTCCCACCCTCCCCCCCCCACCTGCTGTCATTGTAGATTAGCTTAAAAGTTCTAGAATTTAATATAATAAGAATTATATAGCATGTACTCTGTTTTTTGATCTGGCCTCTTCCATTTGGCATATTAATTTTGAGATTCGTACCTATTGCTATGTAACAGTGGTTCTTTCTTTTTTATTGCTAAGTAATATTCCATTGTAAGGATATGTAACAATTTATCTACCCATTCACCTGTTGATGGACATTTGGTTTGTATCCAGTTTGGAGCTATTAAAAGTAAAGCTGCTATGAACGTTCATGTACAAGTCTTTCCATGAATATAGGCTTTCAGTTTTTCTAGGGTACTTTTATTTTATCATCTTAATTTTCATTTCTCTTGCTACATTCCCACGGTTTCCATGCATACCAAGCAGGATGGAGTTAGGGGTGTTTGTGCACCCCAGTTTAAGACTGTGGGTCCTGGTCTGAGGAGTGAGGCCTTAACCTGGCCTATGTTTCATATGCAACATGAAATAGCTAAGTTAGCAAGAACGATTGTCAGCAGAACATTGTGACAACCAACATGTATAAGGAGGGAAAAAGTCATCTTCTTCCTTCACCTTGTCTTAACAATGTTTTCTTCTTGCCATGAGATTAGCAAACGATGCACAGGAACAATCTGTAGGCTAAATACATTTTTAAAGGGTTGTTAATATCCGTTCCCAAAGTAAATGACACAAAACCAACATGAGTATAAGCAGGGACAGGCATTATTAATGGTGTTTATTTTTCATTAGGAGGCCAGAACAATTCCCTAATTGCTAGCAGATTCTAGGAACTGCCTTATTTGTAAACAGTGGTTTGCAAAAATAGTCATTAACAAAATAAACAGCCAATTTAGAGCGAGCAATTGCAATTATAAAATGTATTTAACGGTTTAAAGAGTATTGGTGATATTTCCTAAAGGCTCAGTGTCTCTCCCGCATTTGAACAGCTGAGCTCGGCTTGCCAGACCCCAGGCACAGACCCGACACACCAGTATTATCCAGTTGGTTTGATCACTTCCTTTTAAAATGTTAATTTTATGATTACAAAGCTAACTCATTCCCATTCCAGCAAATGTGCCAAATACAGAAAAGAATAACAAAGAAAATAAAAATCTCCCATAATTCTACCTTTTAGAGATAACTATTAATATTAGTTTAATTCTTCCTCCTATGCAAACAATTTATAGTTGAGCTCAAACTCTATATACCATTGTGTACTCTGGTTTTTTTCTCCTTAGCATTATTGCATAAACATTTCATCAGTTTATTAAAGTTCTTCGTAAGCAACATGTTAATGGCTAGAAAAATACCCCAGTGTATAGATGGCCCATATGGTACTTAACCATTGCCCGTGTTGTGGCTACTTAGTTGGTTTCTAATTATTTCTAGGGTGAATAATGTTGCAATCAGCATTTCTGTGCAAAACCATTTTTAACTGTATTTAAAAACTGTTTCCTTGGAATATACCCAGAAGTGAAATGTTTAGATCAAAAGGTATGAATGTTTTTGAGGCTCTTGGTACAAATTCAACTCTGCGTTTAGTAGACAGTCTCCCGACAGGGGTGATCAGGAGACTAACCGAAAGGCAATTGCCATGGCTAATTAGATTAGGACTAAACAGAACTCTGTTGGCATCTTTGGTGGTTGAGTGGGAGCATGATCAAAAAATTGGATGAATGAATCAAAAAATTGGAATTTCTTAGCCCAGAAAGAAGACTGAGTCCTAAAAAAGCAGCACTTTTTCCAAGAGGCAGTCATTCAAACTTGGCTTGAAGATGTGACTGGGAGGGAGACCCACCCTTAAAGATGGAGACAAAGAAAAGGATGGGCAAATGAGTGCCAAGGCCTGCCCAGGTTTGAGGGGAGCACTGGAAGCCCCCACAGAGATGATGGGCGGAGGCCTATACCACTATGGTTCTTCATTAAGCCCCACCTCACCTCTGCGACTGGGGTGACCACCCATGTGAGTCCCCAATAATCCCATGTCCATCATCTTTAATGGTCCTCAAGGATTGCAACTGCCCTGAGAATCAGAAGTGTTATCGTTGTTACTATTTAATTCCTCTCTGCTTTAGTATATGAGGCAAGGCATATAGTAGGTGCTTATTAAATGAGACTTTAAGTTCCCCAGGGGCAGGATCCAAGATTGTCCCCTCTATTCCTAGTATCTAGCACGGTTCCTGCCATATAGTAGGCATTTGGTAAAGTTGGTTTAACTGAAGACGTTTAGGTAGTTGCTGATTAGTCACCAGTTAGATCCATTCAGACAAGAACTCGTGGGAAGGATAAAACCCCACTAAGTTTGGCGGAATTCCACCTTCTCGTTTTTTCTCTCCTACCCCTCCTTACCCTGCTCTACTTCCCCTGCCAGGCTGACCTATGAACCTGCCCAGCCAGTGAATAACGTGGTCTGGGCTCAGCGTGAGCCCGCAGCCCGAGCCCGCGGGGTGCCTGCTCTTTAGCTGCTCAACTGATGAGGGAGCAAAGTTGCTGAAGTGTCTCCTTATCAGAGATGATGAGCTTCCCCGTGATCCAGGGAAACAGCCTCATCTCCAGCCTGGTCTTCTGGGAGAAGCTGGGTTGGTCATTTATTCAGTGTTTTTTAACCTTGCAACTCATGTTAATTAGCTCAGTACCCCAGGACTTATTTCAGATTCCTGCAACAGCTTCCTCTCCTTGCTGGGTGAAGCTCCTGACTGTCCACGTCGGGGCTGGGACTGGGCCAAGCTGCTGCTTGCAGTAGCCATCGCATCGTCCAGAGCCATGCTAGTCTTGCATTCACCATGGCAACGGGACAATGAGCAGCCCTTGCATTTCCATTATCTTTTGTTGGTTTCCTAAAAGTGGGTATTTTCCATGCCACTATTTTCTCAGCTTACCAATTACACTTTAGAATTCTTTTTGTCTGAGGTTTTCTTCTCTAGCACTTAGAAAACAAATTCACGAAAAATGGCATGAATTCCAAATTATAGGAAATGGAAATCAGCCTGGGCACTGACTGATTTTACAATTTGAAGTCTAAGTGAGTTTTTCGAAACTATATATATAGAAGAAAGCTTAATTAAAACTGTGTTTGTTTTTTTTTTTATGTAAAGAAATCAATTCCTGTCCAAGGTGTGATTATGCTTCTAATGTACTTGTTTTAGTCAGGATAGGAGGATATAGTTCAGTAACAAATGACCTCCAAATCTCAGTGGCTTTAACACGATACAGGTTCATTTCTGTCTCAGGCTCTTTGTCCACTCTGGGTCATCAAAGGGCTTTGTTACATACAGTGACTCAGGGCCCCAGGGGCACTACGATGCCATCATCAGCAATGTTGGGTTTTCACAGCAGAAGAGACAGACAATGTTGCCTGTCTTCAGCACAGAAGTGACACATTGGCCAGAACTAGTCACTTGCCCCCACCCCACTCTGGGGTCAGACATTGTGGGGGAGACATTGAGCTAGGCCCAGAACAGCTTGACAATAGGGCAGAGTAGGAAAAGAGACGCAAGGACCAGAATTTGATGTCTCAAGACACTGAGCCATGTACTCTCTGTTCTCTTATTGATAGATACTATAAGGCAGCAGTCCCCCCAACCTTTTTGGCACCAGGGGCCAGTTTCATGGAAGACAATTTTTCCATGGACTGGGGGTGAGGGGTGGCAGAGCTCTGTGGCCCGGTCCCTAACAGGCCATGGACCACTACCGGTCCTCAGCTTGGAGTTTGGGGACTGCAGCAATAAGCTCCAGGGTAGCATGCCCATTTTATAGTTGAGGAAGCTGAGGCTTTAAGAGGCTAAGGCACTCATCGATGTAATTGCCACCCCCAGTTGCAGCCATTTGGGAAGACAGAGACCAGGACGATGGACCTTTAGTATTTTTAGCACCACTCTTGCTGCCAAGGCTGATACCAGCAGATAATTCTTTAGTCTATTTCTTTTTAAAGAGAGTTGAAAATTAGCTTTTCCATCTTTGCATCTTCAATGTAGCCAGATGTATTGGAACATCTATATCTATATATCTATACACATCTTCAGTTAGAGTTCGAGCTCCATGAGGGCTAAAGGTTTGCTTTGTTTCTCTTTGTATCTCTGTGCCTAGTAGACTGTCAGTTGCAAAATCGGTGCATAACCCGTGGTTACTGAATGAGGAATAACTGTGCCAATGGAATCCTCACCCTGCCAGAAATGATGCCATAATATAGTTAAGGAATTGCAATCACAGAAGTCTATGGACAGAGATGGGTAGATTCTTGTTGTCTAGAACTTTTGATGTCTCCTTGTCCACAGGACGCTGCGGCTGGGACCCGCAGTCAGCTGCAGGGCCAGTGACGTTCTTCTCCACCGGGGCCTTCTTAGAAGGTGTGGTCCCAGAGCGGGACCGGCCTATGTTTTGATAGCAAAAAGATCAGTGGAAACTGGAATCCCAGCTTCAACATCCTCCTGCCCCAGCACACAGCCCCTCTTCACATCTTCCGCTTCAGTGACTTCACTGAGGTGACTTTCCCGTTATTCTGGGACTGGAACTTTACCCAGTTCTTGGCCTTCTTCAGGGTTTAATTCCCATTTGTTGAGGTAGCACGGTACAGTGGAAAGCACTGATACTTCACATAAGGGCATTTGGGGTTTAAATCCTGACTTCTGCCGAGTGATTTCTGCATGGCCGCAGGCAGGTCACTTGCCCACGGCCCCAGTGTTCTCAGCTGGGGAGTAGGAACACACCGCACATCCTACAGGGCCATTTGATGGCTGTAGGAGACAAGGGACACATAAGGCCCCAGCAGTGAACAAGATGATCAGATTTCTTGATGTGAGCCCAGGAGCTGAGCCCTGTGGGACGGCGGCAGTGGAAGTGTCTGTTCTTCAACTGCTCAACTAATGAGGAGGCAGAGAGGCCAAAGTCTCCTCCTCCTCGTGAGATGCCGGGCAGGCCACCCCAGGACCCCGTGCATAGTGGGGGCTCAGTTCACAGGTATTGACAATAACAACGATGACGGTTAAACTTGCTTCATACCCTCCTCCAGCTCCTTCCTATTTTCAGTCTGCAGCCCCTTCCTCTTTTAAATAAAAGTGGAGCCACTGTCCAATGTCCCTTGAATAAAGGAGGTGACTTTGTGCTGGGTGCTCTCCATACGTCACAAAATGCCAATACTGCCTCCACTTTGCTTGAGCAAGGTCTGCTTGGGTTTCTGTGACTTGAAAGGCCCAAATGAAACGTCCCCTGCACAGAGGCCTAACTGTCACCACCTAGCTGCCCCACTCGCTCAGCAGGAAGCTCAGGGCCTGGGTTTCCTCCAAAGACAGTGGATAACAAATTAAACTGACAGAAGCCACCTGGGCTAGAGTTTAGGCCCCCCCTCAGCAGCTGTTTCTACTCCCCCTCCAGGTGGGTAGGGTGTCCAGAGGCTGCATAGCTACAGACTTAGGAGAAGTCACACCAAAACCCACCACACTTGAAAGGGAGCATCCTGGCTTTTGCAGAAGTGCACACACAGCAGGGCAGTGTGCAACCTAGGCTGTCCTGGAGGATCTGATGTCCAGGAGGCCCTGATGTGACAGCCTTCCCCACTGGAGATGGTAGTAGTTGATTAACAAACTGAACCTACGACAGAGTGCCCGAATTCAAGGGATACAGAGAGTAGTAGGCCAATGGTTTCTTCTAGAGAACAGAAAGAGAAACAGGAAGAAGGCAGAGCAGGAGCCTTGGAGGGGTGGGACCAGGAGCCAGCAGCAGTCACGGATAAGGAGAAAGCAGCCCAGGTGTAGTGGCGGGGGGGTGGGGGGACAGCTGTCGAGTTGCCGTAGTGGTAGGGCCCTCAAGTAGGGTGGATGGATGTTGTCTCTGAGCCAACATGGTGTTGGCTCATGGAGTCACCCACCAGGTGGCTCAAGCTTAGGGGGGTCCTGAGCGAACTTCTGTTCTAAGGTACGCGTGCCTCCATGAAGCCAGGTGGTGCCATTGCTATTCTTGTCATCCCCATGGCCAGGTTTGTCCTTATCCACATTGCTTAAGGTCACCTGAGAGTGTCTGTTTCTTGACAACTAAAGTCATAGGCCAATGTGAAAGACCACAGGTGTTCGCCAGGATGTGGAGAAAGTGGAACCCTTGTACACTGTTGGTGGCAATGCAAAATGGCACAACCGCTGTGGAAAAAAGCATGGAGGTTCCTCAGAAAATTACAAATAGAACTACCATATCATCCAGCAGTCCATTTCTGGGTATTTATCCAAAAGAACTGGAAGAAGGATCTCAAAGAGATATTAGCACCCAATGTTCATTGCAGCGCTATTCACAATAGCCAAGAGGTGGAAGCAACTTACATGTCCGTGGATGGGTGCGTGGAGAAAGACCATGTGGTATATGCCTATGACAGAACACCATGCAGCCTTAAAACAGAGGGAAATTCTGCAGTATGTGACAACAGGATGAACGTTGAAGAGATTATGCCAAGTGAAAGAAGCCAGTCACTGAAGGACAGACACTTGCATGAGTGTCTGAACAGCCCGTCTCATAGAGAGTAGAATGGTGGTTTCCTGGGGCTGGGAGAGGAGGAAATGGGAACTTACTAATAAATGGGCGCAAAGTTTCAATTATGCGAGATGAATAAGTGCATAGTAAGCTGCGTGGCATAGTGTCAGTAGTTAACAATCCTGTGTTATACACTTCAACGTTTGCTAAGAGGGTTGATCCCATGTTAAGTGTTCTTACCACACTAAAATAAAAAAAAAATATTTTTTTGTAAAGTGCTAAACCAGCAAACAGGACACAGGAAGTCCTCAGGCAGAGGCATCAGCCAGGGAGGCCTCACCGGGTGAGGACACTCTCTGGACCCCGAGCGTTCTCGCCTGACTCTACAGCTGTCCCTCAGCCCGCTGTGGTGGCAGTTTTCACGTGGAGAGTGGTGGGCCCTGAATGATCACCAGGAGGACCTGACTGCACCCTCAGTTTCTTCTTCCACTTAGTTAACCACAACTGATGCTTAAATTTTTTTTGAAGTGAAATTTACATAATATAAAATCAACCATTTTAATGTGAACAGAATTCAGCGGCATTTTAGTACATTCCCAGTGCTCTGCAAGCACTGCCTCTGTGTAGTCCTGGACCATTTCATCATGCCTCAGTAAAAGCCCTGCTTTCGTCCCCCCCCAGCACAAGTCTGCTTCCTGTCTCTTTGCGTTTACCTATTCTGAGTATTTCATGCAAGTGGATCATCCGATATGTGACTTCTTATGTCTGTTTCTTTCACTTAGCATCATGTTTTCAAGGGTCATCCACGTTGTGGCATGTGTCAGTACTTCATTCCTTTTTATGGATGAATAATATTCCTCCGCCACGTAGATTTACTACATTTTCTTTATCCATCCATCCATCGATGGATATTTGGGTTATTTTCACCTTTTGCCTATGGCGAAGAATGTTATGAACATACTTTGATATTTTTTCAAGTCACAAAAATCACAGAGACAAGCCCAGGCTGGGTGCCCTGGACGTGCCAGTGTGTCCTGGTGGCCTCCTGTGTGCGGCTGACACTCCGCCCCCACTGTGACAAGTTTAAATGGCGGTACTCAGGGACAGAGTCTCTGCAGGCCTCTCTCAATCCCACCTCTTAAAAGCCCACCCTGAGGTTGCTTAAGAAATTACTGGGTAATTGAAGCAATAACTTTCAAGACCAAAATATATATTTTCCTCCTCCATAGAACACAGCGCCCATAACTCTTGCGATGCTTTTAGCTGTTCCCGAGAATAAACCGACCGCCGTTCCCCTTCCCGCCTGCCCAGCGAAGCTCGGGAAGGAGAGAAGGCGCAATTCGGTGGGAATCATAAACAGAGAAGAGGGAAATGCTCTTTTTAAACATTCTCAAGATATTTTACCCCCGAAAAGTGCAAATAAAACCGATCGCCCTGACCCCAAGAGCCGGAGCTCTCGCCGTGTCTATGCGGCCCGAGGTTGGGTCCCGCGGCGGCGCACACGGGGGCGAGAGCTCCTTCGGGGAGGACCGCGTGCCGTGCGGAGTCTCATTTACATTCCGGGGGCACGCCTGAGCATTGTTTCTTTCGGAAATGTCAGCTCTCTCAATTCTTCCCCCTTTTAAACAGATCCACATGATTTTCCCCCCTGATCGAAGTAAAAAGAGTGTAAATATTTTAGCATTTCATGAAACTGGGAACATTAGAGGCTACTTGCGCAGTCATTCGAATAACAGCAAGCATTTCCCGCACATTCTAATCAGTTAACTTCCCAGGGTAATTTTTCAAGAGGAGCAGAACGGCCCAACTCCAGGCCACGCACGCCTTCGCCCGCTCACATTTCTGCCGCTGCGGTCGTGAGGAATTCGCCCATAAAGGGGGAGAGGGACCTCTCCTGCCTGGGACGCGATAAATGGAGTGTGTTTGTGCAGGCCAGAGCGGTGGCCGCGGGCGCTGCCTTGCGTTTATGTCCTGCCAGGGCCGAGGGACGGCGCTTCCCACATCATGGGCACCGCGGTAAAGAGAGGGAGGCGGGTCGCTGTCTTCCTGCGCAGCACGCGTGTTCACACGTGGGAGCTTCCGCAGCCCAAGCAGGTTGTCCAAGCAGGTACTCTGCACAGTGTCATTTCACGTAATGTTAAAAAACAACAAGTGGCTCCTTGCCAGGGCTCCCGCTACTAAAGGCCACGGGGAAGAACTTGGAGAGCTTGACGGCGCCCCGAAAGGCTGCAGAGAAGAGAGAGGATGGGCCGGGGCAATGCGAGAGGACGTGGGCTTGGTTGGGGAGGGACTTCAGGGGGCGCTGCGCTGTCCCCTGCAGAAACCTCCACCCGCGAGGACACAAGCCGCCCAGATAATGACTCTGTCACCAGTTTCAAAGATGGCCTGTGCCTTTGGGCTGTGAGTGGGTAGAAATTTTTAATGTTTGCTTGGGCCTCATGGTAATGAGGGGAGCTATGGGGGTGCTGTTTCTTATTCACTTGTCACCAGGGCAGGAGGAAGGCAGGGCGTGGGGACAGCTGCTGCGTGCTTAGAGCTGGCTGGGTGAGCCGCTCGGGCTCACCTGGACAGGGCCACTGGGCCTTAGGAGGGGCCTCACCTTGGGCAGGTGTGAGGACCTCCCCAGCCCTCGGAGATGCCGGCGTGGAGGAGGGTGAGAGACGGGAACACTCGCTCCCCTGCCCTTGAGCAACGAGTGTGTGGGGAGGAGAGGACGGGAGAGGAGGCCAAGTGTGTCCTGTCCTCCTCGTCCAAAGAGGACCGAAGCTTTGCGTCTGGCGCAGGATTCGGAGCCCTGAGCTCAGCCTGAGGTTCCCCCTCGTGCCGAGAGATGCCTCCTCACTGGCCAGAGATGACAGATGTGGCAACAGAGCCATAAATATCCCGAGTCGGGAGAAGATGGACAGG